ACCATGTGTGCAAATTAACTAATGTTCATTTACATATACGATTCCGGTTCGGGTCCGAGTTGCTAACGATCTTTGGGTTGAGAAGCTGTTTGAGGCTGTGGTTGGGGCGCTCGACAGCTGAGTTTGAAATCTTTTTTTTAGCTCGCATATGCATAGAGAATATCTCTGCAAAGTTTCAGCTTTCTGCCTTGCCTGGTTCCCAAAATCGTTTTCCGCCAACATATTTCTTTGGGGGTCCCGTACGCGGGGCCTTGGCGCGTTTGGGGAAGGATCTTAAAACGGGAGGATGACACACGAGATAGGAACGTATATCCAAAGTTTCAGCCTTTCAGCTTTCCTGGTTGCTGGAAAGAAAATAGGTGACAAAATGCATTCGCTTTTTTTTTTGCTGGCTGTAGCAGCGCCGTAGCGCTGCACAGCAAAAACGCATAAAAATTATTGCAAAGGAATGTTTCGGTCCATTAAGTCGTATCCATTCCTTAGCAGTGCCGCCACTGGACCTCGTCAGTATGACGGTTGTGGTACCCTTGTTTAAATGGTAGCATATTAATATTTTAGGATGTAGATAGACTAAACAAATGTTTTTAATATACGTGAGAGAAGTAGAAGTCAAAAGAAGAAAATAAAGAGAATTTGTAACTGATTGGAGAGATGCCAGAACAGAAGTTATGGACAGGCCAGTTGGAACATCAGTGAATCTATAAAATAGAAATATGAGATCTTATCTAGTACTCTTTATTGGCATTTTCAGTTTGCTCGGTGAACTCTTACATTTCGCTTTCCCAGCTTACTCTGGCCAAAAATTTTGCATTTCTGGTCAAATTTTGCATCTGCGAGCTCATTTTTTTTTTTTGCATTGTTCATGTACAAAGAACCGTTTGACCGAACTAGAGGGGAAACAAATTCTTCTCTTCGAACACATTCAAACGGTGAAGCTTTTTTTATGTGTAGATTTCTGTTCAGCTGCTGGCTCTGTCCTAGAACATTCTCTTAAACTGAGTCGATGTTGTTTTATGGATTTTCGATAATTGATAAATAAACGTTTTCTTGTATTGTTAAACGCTGCTTTGTGTTGTTTTGCATACGATACTTTAATTACTGAAATTTAGCATTTCGTAGTTTGCTTATGCAACTGGCAACTCTTCAGTTACTTTGACCAGAGCTGCATCGCTTATTGGTCAGTCTCTGGGCAATTTTGTCATTCGTTTCGTTTCAGGAAGAATTTACCAGCTCATCGATTCCATCGATAGAAGCATTTGGTGGCGTTGCTGCTGAATTGGA